AATGGCATATGGAATCCATATATTCCATGATCATTCCATACCATTCCATATAGATTCCATGGTCAAATTCCCCATTTTTTCACAGTTTACACACCATTCCATATGGAAACCATTGGGGAGTGGTAAGTACACGTTTTCTGAGCAGCCACACTAACACCTCATCAGGAAAGTCAAAGTTGAGGCCCTGATGTCGGGTGGGAAGAGACAGGCACTGCTGCAGGGAGCTCAACCCTCGTCCAAGTGCCAGAAAAAGGAGCCTGCACCCAACAGCAATAAGCCCAAGAGGCCTAGAGGCAGCCAGCAACTCAAGAAACATGGTGGTGATGAGGCATTGGCATGAAAAGAGAGGCTTCATGAACAGTCCTACCTGCAGGGGGCTGTCTACCAGAACAGGGCTTTCTCCATGGCAGAACACACCTCCCCAACTTCAACAGGGTGGCAGGGCCTTTCACCTCCTGCCTGGGTGAGGGAAACCATACAAAAAAAATGGAGGGAGGGACAGATCCAAGACGTTGTCTGGACTTTCTTCCCTGTCCCCTACATAGATGAAGGAAGGTGAGGCCTGTCTTTTACCACTTCCTGGCTGCTTTTTTCCTCACCTTATCACCTGCAGGGCTGCCAATCGGCTGACAATCCTGCAGGATCAAGAGGGTTGCATGTTCTTCTACTGAACATTGCCTGCAAAGTGGTTGGGGCATCAGCAGGACGATTTGGAGAAAGCCATTGAGAGCCTCCTGTGACCGACACTTGACTTAGAAGCAGCAGCAAGGAAGAATCATGACAATGGGCATGGGCTGCATCTGTCATGCATCATTGGGCACTACCACCACTACCAGAAGGGGGGTGCTCTGTCAAGGCTGGCAGAAGTGACAGCTAATGGAAGAGACTGAATGCCACAGGCCCTGGAATTTATGCTCTGGCACTGGGAGAACTGAGCCCGAGTGGAGGCTTTTCTTGAGGAGGAAATTGTGAAAAATATAATGTGAGCTTCATAAACTTTTGCCACCTTTGCCTGAGCTGAGCTCCCTCCTAGATGCTGGGTAACTTCAGTGGTGGAACTGAGAAAGTGTGTTGACTGGCACCAAAAAACCATTCACTGTGCCCTGCATGCCAATTCTAAGAACATTGTTGGTGTCTGTGTTCTGGTGATCTACCAACTAGGTGGTAAGTTGAAGAGTTCTCTCATTGTGAAGGTGCTGACTCCTCCTCAGAAAGAAACTTCAACCACAAAATGAGGTCATTTCTTGTCCTTTGGGAGGCAGGTGTTGCCATTGAGCTCCCACCCTGGGTGCTGGCAGCCTACCCCTCTTTGCTGCTCTTCCACTTCAACATTGACCTGACTATTAAGCCACCTCATACATTTAACATAGCTGTGCTAAACTCCAACAGACTTTGAGTTTGTCACTGCACTGGGGGGGAGTGACCTACCTGCCAAAACTCTGAGCCACTGGTTGAAGGTGACAAGCAGGGGCACGGCAGCTTGGTCCATTTCAATGAGGCGACTATGTATCAATCATCTGAAACAAATTGTGCTACACTTACGGAGGCAAAGAACAAAGAGCATTCAGGTGTGGTGGACTATGGGCAGTCTGTTCAGGAGGCTTTTGAAAAGTTTGGCACATATGTACTGTTTCACCATGGTCCAGCTTCATGAGTTCTGGGGACTCAATCTTTTTGCTTGCTACACACTTACTTCATCTTCTCTTTCTTTCCTCTGTCATTTTCTGCCAGTTCTCCAGCCTAAGGCTGATACTTTGCCCTCCATGTTACAGACATCTTCTAGTAGGATATTGGTGCAGACTGTCTGGCATCATTGGAATTGGTGGCAGAGGAACAGGGGAAATGTCTTTGTTCAACTGAAGGAAGATATTTGAGTGTGCAAGGTACAAAGTCTGATAGTTGTTGGTAGAGTGTCTGGTGTTGGAGTTTGGTAAAGACCTGGGCAAAGGTGAAGCTGGCAACTGAGCAAAGGGAGGGGTGGTTCCTGTTTCCTGCCCACTGAATTTGTCAACAGCCTCACCAGCAGTCTCAACCTCCTGAACCTACCATGGAAAGAGGGAGGCCATGATGATGGCCCTCCCTTCGCTACCAGACCAGGTCCTCTAAGCCAGATGACAGCTCCAAACCTGGTCAATGCTTCTTTGACTGAGGAAAGCTTCATATCTGACAAAAAGGTGCCCTTTCAGCAACTGTTCCATTGATGGGTGGTACAGAAGTGAGGACAGATGCTGCAGGAGAGTCAGGCATGGAAACAGGTGGGACGCCAGATGATGTGGGACCTCTTACAAGTGTACTGGGATCACTGCTAACATTGGGCATGGTTGGGACTGCGGACTCAGTTGGTGCGAGAGAGTTGGGAGAGGGAATGGGTTGTGAGTGTCTAGTGGGTGCTGGGTCGTTAACAGGAAGGAGGGAAGAGAAGAAGGGGTAACAATATGTTTCACTCTATGTACCACCTTTTGGATGTCACCATTAGAACATGAGGTAGTTGGCATGGGGATAGAACTAGCATTTGCAAGGTGAACTGTGCCCATTGCAAGCAATAAGTGTGAGCAAATGACCAATAGCCATTTTCGAGATTTGACAGAGAATAAAATGAGAGAAGGATTCAGTGAATGACTGAACATCCATTTTATACTGGTTCACTGGCAAATCTTCCAGCCACAACTTGACTGCACACAGAAAAAAAAGCTACCAGTAGTCATATACATGCCAATTCCTGGCAGTGTAAGACACAATAGGTATCACAAGATGGTAAGGGTTGACTCAGGGTTGGGAGTAGAAACAACACAAGATGGTGAAAAAGGGGGAAGCACTGATGAATTTTAATCCATTTGTCATCCAAAAAAAGTGATCCCTTCATAATTTGGCCAATCTACAATCCGACTACAATTCTGATTATTTCCATATTTTATTGCTTCTTCAGTTAGTATAGCCAAATCATCTATGTTTGGAAATGCATACTGGACCCTGACAACAGCACACCAATCTTGTCACCAACAGTTACTCTGATTTTTCATAATGCATAGCCATACCTTCTGTATTTGGAGATGTGCTCTGGATTCTGAAAATAGCACCTGACATTGTCACTAGTAATGACTATTTTTATCTATACATTATTACTATTTTTCATTTAAAGGTGCCAATTTCTATATTTGGAAGTCTGCCCTGGACCCTGAAATAAATCACATGATCAATTATGTTACTTATCATTTGGATCAATCCTGGGACTAGTCCTGTCTGAAAATCCTCAGGAATACACCCTCACAGGACTCATAAAATG